ATAGCGGCTCAGCGATAGGACATTGCGGACCAGATGGTGGATGGTGGACCAGATGCTCAGCCGGAGAAAATCTCAGCTCAGCAATATCAGATAGTCTTTCAAATCTCAGCCCAACGAGACGAGGTATTAGCTCAGATGTCCGCTCAGCGAGAAGAGGTGCTGGCACGTATTTCTGCTCAGCAAGATCAGATCGCCTCCCAGATATCAGTCCAACGAAAAGTAGTATTGACTCAGATATCAACACATCGGGAAGAGGTTCTGACTCAGATCGCTGCTCAGCAAGAACAGATCGCATCTCAGCAGGACAAGATTATAGCTCAGGTTTAAAACCAATTCAATACCCAGATAGAAGAAATGAAGAGGGAGCTGCAGCTCGAAATAGAAAGAAGATCTTTGCTGGAGGAGTCTGAAAATGGTCAACGACTCATGATTGAAACCACACAGTAAGGCCACATGCAGTGACTACTACCAATCGAGTGAAACCACCTACATTCGATAAAAAAACATCGTGGCCGAACTATCTGAAGCAGTTCGAAGCAGCTTCCAAAGCCAATGGGTGGACATACAAGGACTTATGGAGTGCCTAGCTGTTCAAACGTTCGTGGATGGATTACGGGATATCGAAATGCAGGAAGCAGTTCGCCTGACTCGACCAAAAGACCTCACCAGTGCTCTGGCAGCTGCGCGAATTGAGGGTATATTGGAGCAAGGAAATCCCATCATCATGGAACCCTGGAACCATGACGAGGAAGTTGGACGTGGAATCTTAGTCGGCAAGGCTTTACTGTCAGCAGACGACCATGTACCTGTTAGGTTTATCAACATAAATAATTACCCTGTGACGATTGGCAAAGGAACGAAGATTGGAACCTGTGTCCCGGCAGCCTCCATAATCCACCAGGTAACAGCAACCACTGATGGGGCCGGCAAGTATGAAGAACTCGTCTCTGCTGCAAGCAACTCCCTCAACATCCGACAGAAGAAGAAGTTAACCGAGTTACTGCAGAGGTATAGATCCATTTTCATACCTGCCAATGGAAAAACAGGTAGAACCAACATCGTCAGTCACAAAATCGATACGGGAGATACCAGACCGATTCGTCAACCAGCCCGAAGATTACCACAGGCCAAGAGAGAAATTGCAGAAAAGATCATCCAGGATATGGAACAAGACGGGGTAATCGAGCCATCCAATAGTCCTTGGGCTTCACCAGTGGTACTAGTGAAGAAGAAAGATGGAAACACTCGTTTCTGCGTGGACTATCGCCGATTGAACAACGTGACGAAGAAGGACAGTTATCCTTTGCCTCGAATTGACGACACACTCGACACGTTGGCGGAATCGAATCTTTTATCCACTCTGGACCTGAAAAGTGGATATTGGTAGGTGCTAATGGATCCGGCAGATAAGGATGGGACAGCTTTCACCATCGGCACTGGATTATGGCAATTCAAGGTTATGCCTTTCGGACTCTGCAATGCTCCGGCCACCTTCAAACGAATCATGGAGAATGAATTGAGGAGACTCTCCTGGAAGACATGCCTGGTTTATTTGGATGACATCATCGTGTAGCTCGTTGGATCGAGTCATAAGAATGCAGATGCTATGTCTAGAAGGCCATGTCCACCTGAGTGCTCACATTATAGTCGTTTGAAGGATAAGGAAGCAGCCCTCTACAAGAACAACTCCATTGCATCCACAGTCATCAGATGGCATGGTAGAGCGAATGAACCGAACCATAGGAAGGTATCTCTGCAAAGTCGTAGATCAACAGCAACAAGACTGGGATCAACTTCTTCCTTTCTTCTTGATGGCCTACAGATCTGCAGTACAGGAGTCTACAGTACAGACTCCGGCGAAGGTTCTATTTGGACGAGAGATGAGGCTTCCATGTGACTTGGTCTTCGGATGTAGACCTGGTGAGGACCTAGTGGGGGAAGATTACGTTACGAATCTGATGAAGAAGATGAAAGATATTCACGAATTGGTTTGTTCTAACCTGAAAATCGCCAGCGATCGCAAGAAAAACAGATACGACATCAGAGCTGGGGGTGTAGGATACGCAGAAGGAGACCTGGTGTGGTTGTACAATCCACAAAGGAAACGAGGTATTTGTCCAAAGCTACAGAGATCTTGGGAAGGACCTTATACCGTCAAGAAGAAGATCAACGATGTCATCTACCGCATCAGTAAAGAACCCAGTGGCAAACCAAGAGTTGTTTATTTCAACAGACTAGCACCATTCGAGGGAACACAAGATCAACAAGTTCAACAAATTTGTCCGGAAGAAAAGGAGCTTACATTCGACGAATTCATTGAGACATACAGTGTTTCATCAAAAGCAAGGTTTGGCGTCACCAAGGAAGAGCACCGCGACCTTTTTGCCATTCCTGTAAAATACGCACTAGCTCACTGTGTCGCCGAGGATCTTCAGTTGTCTCAAGGAATAGCCAACAAGTTGCTGAATGAAAAAGGTCTCTGTTTTATCTTATAACAAAAGAAAGATCTCCTGAGAAACCCACTTACAAGGACCTCTGGGAGACACTAGTCGACTTGCGAAGCACCATACTCGAGAAGGACATACCGAAGATAGCTGTTCCAACGCTGGGGTGTGGACTGGATGGCTTGAATTGGAGAGTTGTAAGGAACATGCTAGATGTTCTATTTAGATTCACCGGAGTTGAAATTCTGGTATGCTGCTGGAACTCCAAAGGAACTCCAAGAGAGAAGACAGTGCCATGCTATTTCTACCATACTGCACGTTGTAGAAATGAAATCACTTGTCCCTATCTTCATAACAATCAGAGTGCATTCCGGGAGGAATGCGTTTTGAGGAGGGGGCAGTGTAATGATATTTCTCTTTCTCTCTAGAAACATCATCAGTAAGACAGGAGTACAACGATCAACCTGTGACACGCATCCCAGATGATTCTCCAACCTCCCAATGATTCCTACATACACCAGCATATTTCCGAACACACAATATATGCCGCAGTGACAAATAACGTGACAGAAAAATTCTGGAATGTTCTGGAAACAATCGATGGAACAATTAGAGAGAGAGGTTTTGTTCTAAGAAGCTTCTAGAACAAAAAGAAGGAGGCGAAAGATCATTCGAGAACGTTCTCGAATCAAAGCCTTCCAAGGGATCTCATACATAAACGGCCGAACAACTGCCGTCAGTCAGTCGAGCAGCGAGTGTCAGAGAGACAGTTATATACCGCGTGATATAAATAGTTTTACATAAATAGTAGTTATAAGTTCGTTATAAATTAGTGTTTCTTTAGTTCAAATAAATCAGTTCGAATATAAATAGTGTCGTGTTCGGTTCTGCACCCGAATAACGTAAACAGTATGTTCATGCTTGTACGAATTTCTGAAAATGTATGCGAAACAAAATCGCAGAATATGAAATTCCCAACAGAATTCGACATTCATACTCATGTGACAAAATATGCAGAGTATAAGGGTTCTGTTGTCATGTTAGACATATATAATGTCTTCATTTCAGGCACGTTACACGAAAGCAATTGAAATATTTATTAGGGTCATTCAGTCACATTTATCCAACAAGGCTGTAATAATCTTCATACATTTTTCGGCATTCAAGAATGCTTCGAACACTACAGCTCCTTATATTGTGTCTGGATACATGATTAGCTAGTGAATATACAAATGATACATTAAAATCAATTCGTCCAGAGGTCTCAGTCCAGACCTCTGATGCTGTCCGCTCTCTAATTCCCCAATTTTGATGTCAACAAAACATCAACACATTTAATGAATACTGTGTGGTTATAATTTCATCCGAATTCGTAAAAAAGTTCAAATATTTCAACTTCATTGCGATATTCGCAGTCACCATTTTATTCGCATAAATTTGGCGGAATTCGTATAAGCATGAACATACCTTTGTTCTCATTTGGAAATTTTGTCATTTCTCATTGGAATTCCTTCTGCAATAGATAATTGAAATGCTCGTGAAGTTTCTAAAAGAAGGAAAGAAGATTGATGGATTCATCATGCAATCTATAACGCTCGATCTAACGGGAGGACTGGTCTGACATGCTGATGAAATATGATTGTGTGTGTTGAAGACATTTTTACTCAATTCAAGCAGTATTTTGATCTTCTGTTGCAGAAGTGGCAAAAGGGATTCTAACTAGAAATGACAAAATTCCAAGATGAAAACTATGTAAGATCACTATTCACCTGAAAAATCATATTCCTTCGTCTTTCGATGCATTTTTTGTGCATTGTACAACCAAATACAACAGCACAATGTGATGGCACGCTTGAATTATTGAATAGCCCAAAAAAGCACGATTCGTATGCCAAAATATTGTGGAAAACTGTTTCAATCCATTGATTCCATTTTGAACAAATGAGAAAAGTGAGGTTGTGTTCCAATGTCTTACCTCCAGGTCACCTCCAGGGTAGCTGCTACATTCATTTCATTGGCTGCCAGTGTACTAGCACTGCCAAAATCGTTCCGAAATGAAATGAAAATTTAAAGCTACTTGTTAGGTATGTTCATATGTGTTGATGAACTTGCTGAAGTTGATTATTCTCTCATAGTTGTCTCTGTTCATGGCATTATGTGAAAAGAGAAAGTAAAAAAAATCAAGTTTAACAGTTGGAGCAAACACAAACGAACTTAACGACCGCCTGCAGTGAGATGGAATTATAAACATCTCAGCCTGCAGTATCCCGAAATTGCTTACTATGGCCAGTAATGACAGTAATGTCGGCAATATGCAATATCCAAGGATTATTATAAGAGTTAATAATCCTTGGGCAATATCTGAGAACATGACCTGACCATGACACTACTGACACTGACACTACTGATAGCTTCTCAACTCTGCTCCAAACTGTTCTGCTCTGCTACTGACATGGCAATTGGCATTGACAATAGTGACAATTTGAAGAGATTGAAGTTTGAATTTGTTTATTTTTATTTCTGACATATATGTGGCTTTCCAGAACATATTAATTTATGAATATTATTACTAACTCCAGCAAACTAATGGCTTCTGCGGTTTCGGAGAAAGTGAAGGAAAAAAGGAACAGGGTAATTATTATTTTTAAAATCTCTCGAAATTGCATCTTGAGCAGTACTTATGACAGGAAAGAAGGAAGAAAGAAATTCATTTCCAATCCTTTCCACAGGAACAGGTAGCCTGATATATATGTAGATGGAGCTGGAGATATAGCCCTTTAAATGATTAAAATCAAGTACCTTCACAATTTTAACAAATTTCCTTTTCTTTATAGATTCTATTGGGTCCCCTTCCTGAAGATTTCCTGAGAGTAAACACATCTGCCCAAGAACAGCAAGAAGCAGTGGATAGACAAACAGCTTTGGCTCTACAGCAACACTACTCTGGAAGTCCTTTCTCATATGTTGCAAATCCCTCTGGAAGATTGAGTATAACAGTTGCTCAGGCAAAACTTGCCAAAAACTATGGGATGACAAGAATGGACCCCTATTGTAGGATCAGAGTTGCTCATTGCATCTATGAAACACCTACTGATCCTAATGGTGGGAAGACTCCCAGATGGAATAGAGTGGTTTATTGGTGAGACACTTTCTAATTTGAATGGGACCTTTTATGTGATAATACCATATTACTTGATAAGATCAATACCAAAATTATTATCCTCTGATGCTGCAACTGATGGTTGATGAAATTAATATCACCCAGTATTTTGTCTGGTATGATCAATTCCATAATTCTGGTCCTCTCACTAAACCCTAGTTCTTTTTATTAATATTACACTAGTATGGGTTAAATGGTGAAATCAGGACATTGTAAGTGAATTTATGGGCCATCAGTAAAATATTACTACTTGCCACAGAAAATCACAGCACACCACCTATTAGAGTTCTTGCAAGCTGTCAAACCAACTTTCTATGCTGCTGACTGCTGGAGAAAATAGTTATTTGTTTTACTAGGCAGCAAAATAGTAGATTGACTGCCATGGCCAATAGCTCATACCCAAGAGTAGCACTAGGAATTCAGCCAAGGCAGTCAATCTACATTTGCTGCCATGTGAAACATATAATATTTTCTCAAAATGTTATAAAACCAATTTTGTGTGATTTTTTTATTGAAAACTCCATCATTTTGTGTTCACCCTATGTCAGTGTCAATTTTGATTATCAATTTCATTCAAATTACTTGGAATGTTGCATAGCAACAAACTCTTCCTGTCTAGGCAGAGAAAGTACACTTTTCCTGTCTGTTGAGTGTCATAGGGAAGCCACTTGCAGAAAAAACTTCAGAATAAACTAATATTTCAACCATAACCAAATTTTGTACATATACCTTACTTTACATGCAAAATTTGAACATGTTGAGAATTATGGAAATATGGAAATCTCAACACGATCTCAACATGTTTAATTGAATATGGTATTCTTGTTTAGTTTCCATAGCATTCACCATTTTCTAGATAATTTCAAAATTCTGCCATGTAATGAAAATAGTAAATTTCCTTAATAGGATGAGTACCAAACTTTCCCAAAATCATTTAACATCTTATTCTGATGTTTGATTTAAAATTTGGGGGGTGCAATAAAAATGATGAATGAAAAATAATATGGTAGGTACCCTATTTAGAAAAAGTACTACTTATTCTTATTAGGCAGCAGAAAATGGTAATATCAAAACTAAACAAAAGTGAGTAAAAAGATAGAATTCTCATATTTCCTGTTCAAACTGTTGAAAATTATATAAACAAAGCAGTTAGAATATCAGCAAATTCTTGACATTTCCAAATCCCATGATTTCTTTAAAAAACAATGTGCGAAAAAATCGGCAGTAGGCTAGGATTAGAAACATTATTTTTATTTGCTATTGCTTTGTCATGTGTATGTTGGTTGCAGAAAATGATTAACAAAAAAATTGATAATAGGTTCAATAGAGAGGCTCAATATAGCCTTGAATCATGGTGTACTCAAATATTTTTATGTTCTTCTATTTGAGATTTGGTTCAGCCATCCTAATGATTAATGTGGGAAAAAACAGAATAAGGTAGAATTAAAGCCTATATTCGTTTTTCATCATTTTGTGAATAAAAATGGATACATGAAGTTTCCTAAGTTTACTTGAAACATGACCATATCCTCATGCAGAAGTTCTGTACCTTTAGTATCTCATGTACATATGCAGCATCAAGTCAAGGGCCATATGAAAAATCACAATAAGTAAACTGAGAGAGAACAAAACATCCACACAGTTTCATGTAACTTGAAATTCAGCACAAGCCTATTGCAAAACAGGGTCCTGAGATACTTATAAGTTCTCTTTAGTACCTTATCTATATGACTTTTGAAGCGTAAATCATTATCAATGATTAATTCAAGATTTTTGGCAGTGTTCACTACTGTCAGAGGCGAATTATTCACTTATGAAATGAGATTTTGGCGGACAAATTCGTGAATATTTTTTGGAGAAAAAATAATTATTTTCTTCTTGGATGAGTTCAGCTTAAGACTATGGTACCCTTCTGATTAATAATTTCTGGTTCCCTGTTCATAGCATCTTGTGCCTCACATGACTTCTGCAGTATAAATTATGAAGAAAAGGGGTCTTAGAATACTTCCTCCAGGCACACCTGCAATGAAATTGATATATTCTGGCTGCCTATTATTTGATATAATGTTCTGTTTGCGATCTGTAAGATATGAATTGATAATGGATAATGTATTAACAGAAAAACAATAGTATTTGAATTTTGCACAAAGTAATCTATGGTTTATATTATCAAACGAATTTGAATAATCCAGTAGCCTCAAAACACTCACGTTTCTCTTGTCTAGACCATCGATTCTGCTATCCAGAAGGGATGATACCATTATTTTGAGCATATTCATAGACTTGTGCATATCTTATCCTCCCTAGAATCTTAAGACAGACAAGGCAAAAAAATAATGATAATTCAATATCAATACTTATGATTCACATGAATGTGAGCACAGATATGTGGATATGAATATATGTCACACTTTCCAAAGCACTCTTCGCAAAATTGTTTTTTTCCCAATTATGATCAACAGGAAAAATTCGATCATATCCTGTGAAACATCATTGTAATCAGAAAAAAATCCAATATGGCGCCCATGAGAAAAAACAAAGTTATGTGTTGTAACTTTGGCATCAAGAACGTCATGGAAAATATAATGACAGATTCAGATTCCTTGCAAAAAAGTGCCCCAAGAATGTCCCAGTCAGAAACGTCTAGTTTTTTTGGTTTCTGCTTGAAAAAAAAACGAAAATTATAAATTTTTGTTTTCTTCCAATAATTCAAAAACTAAAAATGACACGTCAAATTTACTTGCAGATAAATGTAAATGAATACTGGCTCCACCAGTATGATAACTGGTGGAGCTCGAAAAACGGACACCCTGTATACCTGGTAACACAAGGTCCATGGTATACCCCCTTTTCTCCTTTTGTTTCCTAGCTACATTTCTGAAATTTGGAGCATCGAATATGCTCACTAGATGGTACTTTCTCACATTTCAGGATTTTTTTTCCATCTCCAGTTTTCCTGGAAATGACATGAACTCTATATTTTCAAATGGAATACCCTGTATTTCATTCCATAATCGGTTAGAGATTATTATAACGATTTCAACAATACCAAGTTTGATCACCAAGAATATTCACGTTCGAAGTTTCCATAAGCTCAATGGGTGTTACGGCGCAATATGGGATCGTCTTTCTCTGTATATATACAACAATATAATGAATGATTTGACTCGAAAAAACTTGAAAACTAATGTGAGCATAACCCGGCGGCACCCAGGTGGAAAATTTGTACATAATCACCCAGGTGGAATCTGATGTACCCCATAATAAGAAACAGGAGAAGAAAAACACCAGGAATTTTATTTTCTACATAGATGTATTCACTTCATAATTATTATTATTATTATTATTAAAAAGTGATAATGGGCTGAGGTGTGAACCTATAAAAGCCCATTTATACATGACATAGTTGTATGGTACACATAAAGAAATATTATATATATATGTAAATAGCTACTAGACAAACAATTAGATTAAAAATAAAATTGAAAAAACAATTAAAAATGTTGAATAGAAATTGAACATTTCGAAATAAAATAGACAGATATAATGCGATGCAAACTGAAAAAAACAAAAACAATTTACTCAGTAATACGATCTAATCGACTTTTGAATGATGATACTGAGGGTGCATTAACTATGTCTGTATCCAGGTTGTTCCATGCCGAGAAAACACGATTTACTATGAAGTTTTGTCGATTTGACGACCTGAAATGTTCCTTCTTAAGTTTAAAAATTATGTCCTCTTAATCGTGTATCATCGTTTATCTGGAACATATCACTCAGTGAGGGTAGAAATCCATGAAGAATCCGATAAGTTAGGATCAAGTCTCCACGATGTCTTCGATCTTCGAATGTTGTCAGGCTTAACTGATTCAAACGTTCATGGTATGATGGTCTTCTGAGACCGAAGGACATTCGGGTTGCTCGTTGTTGCACAGATTCCAACATGTTACGATCTCTGATCAACTCCGGGTTCCACACTTGTCCTCCATATTCTAGGATTGGCCTAACATAAACTTTGTAGAGGTTAGTGAACGTTTCAGGTGACGTTTTCGGAAAAACTTTTTTCAAGAGGTACAATTTTGTATTCGCTCGTTTGCATATGTTTGAAATATGTTGTGACCACGTTAAATTGCTGGTTATGGTAACTCCAAGATCATTGTGGCATTCAACCTTAACTAATTGCACATCATTGATGGTATAATTTTGTCTAGGATTATTTTTACCAAGGTGAAGTACAACACATTTATCAATATTCAGTGGTAGTAACCACTCACAACTCCAGTTGTATAAGGCAATCAAGTCATTTTGCAATATATGTTGTGATTTTGTGTTGTTGTAAAGTTTTGTGTCATCAGCGTAAAAAGAACAGGTTGACTTAAAAATATGTGATAAATCTGATGTGTAGCACAAAAACAACAGAGGACCAAGTACAGATCCTTGGGGAACTCCACTCAATACAGGATATTGGTCAGAGAAGCAATCATCTATCCGAACACAAAAATATCTGTTCTCTAGAAAATTCTGGATCCACGTCAGTAGTAGCCCGCGTACACCAAAATGTTCTAATTTACACAAAAGTCTTTTTCTAGGGACACGGTCAAATGCTTTAGAAAAGTCTAGATAAATAATATCCATAGGGGTATTATTGTCCAAATGTTTTGACCAGACATTCACGCACTCCAATAAGTTTGTTGTAACTGACCGATTTGGAACAAAACCATGTTGTTGTTGCGGAATTATTTTGTGATATAACAGGAAAGTTTTTAATTCATCACTTATTATTGATTCCATGATTTTGCAAGCCACTGAAGTGAGACTTATAGGTCTGTAGTTGCTTGGGTCGAGCTTGTTACCCTTTTTGAATATTGGTGTTACAGATGCTAACTTCCAGCTATTTGGTAAGCAGCAGTTTTTGAATGAACGGTTCATAATTATACTTAGTGGATAGACTAGATTTTCGCTGCATCTTTTTAGAAACAGGACAGTGATGCCATCGATGCCTGGGGAGGAGGATGATTTTAGTTTTCCAATTTTGTCCAGAATTTTTGACGGAGGGAAATTTATATTGGAAAGGTTGTCCTGGTTGCGTACGGAGTTAATCGTGATTGTATTTGGTAATTCAGGTTCAATGTTAAAGGATGTTGTGAAAGTACTTGCCATCATTTCTGCGACTTCTTTGTTGTCTTTGCATATGTCACCATCCGTCTTCTTCAACATAGGTATACTAACTCTAGAACTAAGGTGTGATCTTATGTACTTGTGAAGCTTCTTGGAGTTTTCAAATTTTGATAGATTCCTTTCATATGAAATTCTAGCATTCTTTATCGATTCAGATAGTGTATTTGAGAAACGTCTGTGAGTGTGATTATAATTTGACAGTCACTATGATTATAATTTTTTTTTCAATAATAATAATTCATAAGATATCAGACATATAAATGGCGAAATTCTCTCGGGAAAAAACATGATATTTTTGAAAACTGTTGAAAAAATATACAACACTCAATTGTGTAAGACTTTATGAAAAAGTAATTATGCAAATGTTCAAGTTGGCAGCTAGTAAAGTAGAATGTAGTATATAAAATGAACAAAGAATTATCACTTTTCTTATTAAAATTGACATGTATCTCTTAGAATAAAATGTACATCTTCATAACACAGGTGGGACTTCTCAGACCCCAGAGCTATTTACTCCACTGTCACTATCTTGGTAGCTGACTACATATCACAGAATGAAGTGTTTTGGGAAGCTTTAGGCAACCATTGGAACTTGCGTGCATTCAGATGGAAATAACAGTGATTTAAAATTTGTTCGTGTCTGTCAGACCCCACCTGGGCGACGCCATGTTGAAAAATGTCATATTTTTATTTTAAATCATTTTCAAAATAATGATGAAAACCATATTCAGGAGATCACTTTTTGACCCATGTGCATTCAAACTTTTTCTCTTATTTTTATGGTGGAAAATGTAATGCCAAAGTATTGCAGGCTTATCATGAGACACATCATCTCCTTCAATATATTGCCAACAATTAGATTAATGCCTAATCTATCTAATTATTATTTGGAGATCACTGCATGACAATTTTTTAGTCTCTTACCCCAAGGCATCAATACAATAACCATAGAAATATTCGATGAACGTTCCTTCACCATGGATGAACTGGTAGCATGGACCCAAATTGTCATTCCACAGCAAGTTTTGGCAGGTGAGACACATGAGGAATGGTACCCCTTGAACGGGAAACAAGGAGAGGGTGTGGAGGGAATGATCAATATTGTTTTGAGTTACACAGTAAGTTTTTTGAGATTTTCCTTTTCACCTTCATTTTGATACTTCACTATAATTCTCCAGATAACTATCAATTCATCAGTTTGTATCAGTATCATAAAGTAACACAAGCACTTCTAATTATGTTGTATCTTGTATCATGATCGGACAAGTTGACACAAGTTTACTTCTGCCTTCTGCTCAAAACAAAACTACCAATCATTTACCATACTTTTTTCGGAAAATTACCAATGTCAAAAATGAAAATTGAATATCATTGAGAAATGTTTCAATACATATTAGTTTCATGATAACTTCGTTGAAAATGACAAAGAGAAAAGAATAGTAAATGTAATAAATTATGTTGGGTATATCCAAGAATATTATTGTAGGCTTCTCCGCCATATGTTTATGGTCCCACACAGCCCATAATGGTTGTTCCAAGAGCTGGTGCTGGACCTGTTAAACCCTTGAAAGTATATTCCACACCACCTCCTTCAAGTTCACCACAGCCTCTAATATTGAATGAAGAAGAGTTAAAACAGGTAACAGGTTTATTTTAATACTGATATACAGTGTGACCCACTTCTAATGGAAACACCCCTGTATTGTTGGGTGAGGATCCTGAAATTCGCTGGAGCGAGATACCGCGAGAGATATACCAAAAATGCACTCTATGACCAAGTGGGGTCACATCAGTGATATACACTGCTTGCCAACAGCCATGGAACCACCCCAATTTTCGGAAAATTATATTAGGAGTCAAAGTAGGTCTAAAATCACTTCAGATTCGGAATCAGGACGCTCAATTCACTAACTATTCATATTTTTCCTGGGAAATTTTCAGTTCTGAAAAATTAAATTTTGTCGCCCTTTTTACGGAAGCACTACGTAATTGACTTTATCTTTGGACCTTTCCATTCTCCTGCAAATCTCATGACCCTACCTCAATAACTACGTGAGATACGGGGGTGCTTCCATGAGATGTGAGACAAAATTCAATTTTTATGAACTGAACATTTTCTAGGAAAAATATGGATATTTAGTGAATTGGGCGTCCTGATTCCGAATCTGAAGTGATTTTAAACCAATTTTGACTCCTAATATAATTTTCCGAAAATTGGGGTGGTTCCATGGCTGTTGGCGAGCAGTGTATATTATTGAAGATGACCCCACTTGGTCATAGAGTGCATTTTTGGTATATCTCTTGCTCAAGCAAATTTCAGAATCCTTTCCCAACGATTACGTAAGATACATGGGTGTTTCCATTAGAAGTGGGTCATACTGTATTTTATATTTTTCGAAACTTCAATGCCAAATTGCACCCTTTAGCCTCTACAGGGCGTTGCAGTCGAGGTTTTTTTAACGTATTACAATTCATGGCGGATATTGTTCTCAAATAACTGAAGGATGTATCCATGAAAAATCTGTCATATTATTTTGATCGACAGGGGGTGGTACATACATACATACACTAACCATCGAAATAATGGAACCACTCAAAATATTGATGAGGTTTGCTCATCAATAACTCCGTATCAGGCCAATTCGATAATGTTTCTCATAGTAGGAGAGTCGGCTTCAAATTGCGACCATCATCTGATAACAAAATGTTATATGCGAAGACATGTTGAAAATTGCACTTTCCTGTGCGGTAATTTGCACTCAATTTCGCGAGTTGTTAACGAGATAAGAATTATGCCATCCCAATGGGGAAGACCACTGAGGGAAGAAATCCGTGCAAACCTCTTTCAATCGACTAATCATGATTTACATTTCATGTACAATCGATATTATGAGTTGGAGTTGAAGGGAATCGAATCTATATCGTTTTGAAATCAGCATATTTCATTCGATATTTCAAACAGCCAAATATGATGGTGGAGTCGTGACGTATTAGTCCCGAACTGTAGCTATCTCTCTCTGATACCTCGTCATTGTGCAGTGTTGCAGTGTAATTGGTCAGTTCAAGGACAATAGGCGTGTTGGGACTAAGACGTCGCACCAGTCACACCAATGAATTGATGAAATTTCAAATGGCGCAGGCATTGTGTGTTTTGAAATGGACATATACTAATTTATTTTCTTCGTCGTCTTAGCATGAATGAAAAAATTCAAAATTAATTCACTGGTACTTTTTCAGTATAGAGTTCACGATAATGTCATTTTAAAAAATCAGTGGTCTTCCCCATTGAAGGGTAGATTTAGCGATTTATTTGCTGCTATTATTCCGGATATTTTGCGCAACGTGCCGCGATTCAAACTGATCTATGTTAGTGGCAGAGCGTTAATAACTCCGAGAATAATTTGCCCCCGTAAAAAAATAATATCCGACATCGATGATTATGGAGTAAAAATGTAAGTTTTTTGTCACCCTAGATGTTTATGAAGAACTAGCTATCCGGCCCGACTTCGCACAGTTGATGTACCCATTTGAAAAATGAAAACTTGCGTTGCAGTCGTTCTGAGCTATGCGCGTATATCTACAGTACATATTTTTTGTTATTTTTCTTTTTGTGATTATACCTATAACTACTTACACCTATTTTCATTTTCTCAGTATCTTTCGTATTTTTATTGGTGTTTTGCGTATTAAAAAATGCAACCCAATCGGTCCAGCCGTTTAGTAGTTGGCGTACCGACAGCAACGCCACCTACCGCGTCCAATTGTATTTTTAAATCATCCAGAAAATTTCAATCCAATTGGTTCAGTTTTTTAGAAGTTATGTGAGAAAGATAAGTGCTGAAGGATAATTTTTACTTCCCGTTGTCCTATTACCCGTTTTCCCGTAGGAATGAAGCATTTCCTTCTGTAAAAAGTAGCCTATGTTCATCAGGGATAATGTCGGTTTCTAATATTAAAAGAACTAACAAACAGTGTTTTTGAATGTTCAGATTTATCAAGTTTCACACGTTGCATTGTGAAAAGAGCGACAAGAGCATCATAGTCGTCCTGCGCTTTTTTATTCAAAATTGTCTGAATTTGACAATACATTTTATGATTTTTTTTTTAATTGACTCGGCCGTTACTTGATGGAAATCCATGGCAAATGTAGAAACTTCACAGACGATAAGATTTCCACGAAATTCTCAAACACACGACAATTTTCGCTAACACAGTAGCTTCGTCAGATGATATATTGGTACAATGAACTCAACTAACCTTGGCTTGCTTAACTTTTCCATATTCTACTTTCCCAAACTGAAGGATTAGTTACCTGTGGACAGGTTCGATAAACCTTCATTTTCGGAAATTAGGCACAATACATATCTACATTTAAATACGGTGTACCGGATTAACTTGATAGATATTAAAAACATGTCGTGTGTTGGAGAATTTTGTAATGAGTAACGGCCGAGTCAATTGAAGAAATAAACAAATCTTTCCTTTTTATAATATTGGTATAGACAAATCCAAATCGGATTAAAACTAACAAAGTTGTAGATTAGGAAACTTCATCAACATTTTGAGTGGATTCATTATTACCTCTAATCTGGCCCTCTTGTGTTTTTGTGATAGAAGTTATTTGACAAAATTCAATTTCATGCAATTTGAAGTATTCATTTTGCATCTACATTTTATTTATGTAGAATCTTGCTTATATCTAATATTTTATAATTGCAAATCGGAAAATTACGCTAAAAAGCGTTGAAAGTTGCTCTAGTGAAAGTAATTTTCCTTCAGAATCTGAAAAATTGTGTCAAGATATAAAAAACTTCAACAAAAATAAACATAAACGAGTACATTTGATGGAAAAATGCTAGATTTTTCCTGATTTTTAAATGTGCCTTTTTCTCCATGGCTTGTATGAAAATCAATTACTAAATTGATCATGCAACCTCTTTTTGTGTTTTAGATTGAAGAAATGTTCCCAAACATTGAAAAAGAAGTGGTTAAAACTGTTTTCGAAGCGAACCGCGGAAATAAGGAAAGTACCATAAATTATCTTCTTCAAATGGCTGAATAAATATGTGATCTATACATTAATCAATATGAGGGTGTCCTAAGCTTATTTGTTTGGGTCCAGGCGACAATTTGTATCATGATTCAATCAAAACCAATCGAGCAGGACAAACATATTTTTTTTATGTCAGTAATTCATTGACACTTTTATTTTTGGTCGCGGAATACGTTGATGAAATATTGGTGCGCTAATTTCGAGATGACACCCTGTACAAAACTATATAGTTTGAAGGTTTGTTGAAAAGGTAATTGAATATTTCTAGAAAAACGTTTGAGGCGTTTTTCAAAATCGTTCAATTTTTTAATACCTGTTGGCGGTCTGAAGCGCTCAAAATCGCTTGACAGCTGTTCAATCAGCTGAGCAATTTTCTTGAAAATGTGTGGATCTTGATAGTAATCTTGGCAGCACCTCGGCGCCCTAGGAGTGGTACGATTTCCACTATAAGCTGTAGGTCCTGCTCTTCCTGACCCCGCACAAGTTTCGACTTCTGGGGAGTTGGTTCCAACTTCAAAGTTGCTACATACAATTATTCAGGGGGAACCATTTGAGAGATGAAACTCTTGATGATTTTTTTCAAATGAAATTCGGAGCATGCTGCAGAAAGAATCTTTGAAAAACTTATAATAATAATAATAATGATCATCAGTATGGTGAAAGAAGTGCAAAAGATAGGCAACACTTGATGGAAGACGAAACAACGAATCGACGGAGTCAACAGACAGAAGCCAGCCGCCAAGCTTATTGATCCAGTTAAAAGAATAACTTTTACAATTCACTACAATAGAAAACACTAGTTGGTAAAATCAACCATAGCATAATATATCAATCAATGGTATAGTTTATTCAAAGTCAGTTGAACAGAACATCAAACGAATGTCAAAGGGACCGACCTATATAATCCAGGGTCCATAATATCACTCTACACTCTGCCTGTTTGGGATTCCTCTATTTCATACAGATTTTGTCTATCCTGAACAAACATTTAACCCTCAAAAACTACCAAAACACGTCAGTTTGTTGTAAAAATTGAAATAATCATTGCCAGAGCATAGCTAATTCACCACCATTTATTACATGTAAACAATGTCGACGAGGTCTGTCAGTGGTGACGTCACACGCGCCGATTGGCGAGCTAACTATATTGTGTCTTATGGAAATGAACTATCTTCTGGTTTATAGGGGCGTTTTTCAGTAAATAAATGTTTCAATCTCGATTTGGAATTATTTTCCGTCATAAGTATGATGAGGAGTTGGATCTCACCTTGTATTTGACGAATGAGGCATGGAATTCTTCATAATGCCTGGTTTTGGTATTGAGGACATTTGCATTTCGAAGAGAATCGTCTTCCTTATGGAAGACATAGAGACACAATTCAAATATTAATATGCCTACGACAGATAGAAGTTTATATCATAAGTTTTCAATAAAAACATGCGTTAATTATGGACTGTTGTGTATACAGGGTGTTATTTTTTTGTTTTTGGGATGGGTGTGGTTCTATGCTGCCATAATAGCTTTCATTATTATGAACTCATTCTTGTCCAACTCGATTCGCCTACGAGATATAGCCGGGACAAGTAAGATTTTGACACCCAGTATATAATAACTATATATTATACTTAATCGATTTGTGATTTACCAATTCTCGAATTGGAATTCCATTATTAGCTATTGTTAATTCCTATAAATAATATTGACTACGAATTGTATTATGTGCAATTATTGTTTGAATGCTTTTAGTTATGGCCATACTTATGTATTATTCATTAGTACTAGTCAAGTCAGCAAGACCTAATTAGGGACAATATATTGTTTTTTTTTGTTGATAATAAAATTGTGCCAATATGTTTCAGTTAGAATTCGTTTCTATGTACACATCCCAACACCAACACACCAGGGGCACTTCTTAGAATTTGACTCTTACACTTCACTTACTTCCAATATACAGGGTGTTCCGGAATTAAATAGAAAGAAAGATTTCAACCACAGATTCTTGGAACAAAAATAGGGAAAAAAGTTCATATAAACATGGGTCCAAGAATGCCACCCCTGGGGGGTTATAGTCATCTGAAGGAGGGCACGAGATGATGTTTTTTTGTAAATATTTAGAAAACCCTCTTGATAAAATAACCAAATTTTTCATATACCTAACTTTTTTATGTCCAATTTGAAAATGTTGATAGTTGTCCGAAATTTTAGTTCCGATAGCACGCACCATTTTCGAGATAAATCGATTTTAAAAGTCTACTGCCTAATAAAATAGTTACTTTGGTGATCGAGAACTGATTATTCCATATGACGGAAGTATTTCGCGCACGAGTGGCGAACAACATTTTTTTCTACTAACGTCAAAAACATAGTTCTAAAGTTGTAATATGCTTAGCTTAATGAAAATCAACAGTAGTTTGAAAAACTAAAGAAACATCATTTTATAGATAAAGCCAAACTAAAAAGAAGTAGAAAATAAAATAATGAGAGTGTGTTGATAAATACACAACATACAAAATATTAGCATCTCCGTAATCAGTATATTTTTTGTTGTGTATTTATCAACACACTTTTTTTTAGTTCCGCTAACTACAAAAGCGTGTTCTTTAGTGTTCTTATATTTTTTGTAAGTAGGTACCCAATTTTGACGAAAGAGTCATAATCTCCGACCTCGTTACCCCCAGATACAAACTTTGAATAGAATCGGATCATATAATCATAAAACTCGACCACCATATTGGAGTTGGAATTTTCCAATTTTGACGAAAGAATCATAATCTCCAACCCCGAAAACCCCAAATACAAATTTTGAGTAGAATCGAATCATGATTACAAAACTCGTCCATCTCGAATTCTCCAATTTTGACGAAAAAATCATAATTTTTGATCCCGAAAACTCCCAGACACAAACTTTGAATAGAATCGGATGATAATTGAAAAAATTTCGTCATCTTGGATCCGCCATCTTGAATTTTGAAATCCTGACGAAAGGATCGGAATCTCTGATCCCGAAAACCCGCAGATACAAATTTTAAATATATTCGAATCTTAATACCATAACTCGTCCGCTATATTGGATCCGCCATCTTGAATTTCCAAATTTTGACGAGACAATCATGATCTCCTGAACAACCTGTTTTATGACAGAATTGACGGTTCATTATCAAGTCCGTTCACGTCATCTATCCCACAATTCGCTGGAAAAGGGCCCTCCAGCAATAATTGAACTTTTTTTTGTTGAATAAATTCCATGATAATATCACAGAAACTGAAAAGAAATTATCATACGCCAGGACGCGATGAAATGTTTCACACTCTTACGGAAGGGTGAATACTGTGATGAAACTCGACGGTACCTTGGATATTAAATATTAGAATCCGTCTTTTGGGACTTATAAGTCTCAGATGATGAAATGAAAATAACGAATATCTAACCTTGAATTAGGTGGGCACTCCGAAGGCGAAAATTCATTACTGCATGGGAGACACCCTTCAGATTTTTAGTCATTTAGCGACTTGACCAAGAATGACAATCCGGAAACGGCAACCATTTTTCCAAGTCTATTTTCGCCACTCTGTTTTCTCTAGACGAAGTAATCCAAATAATAAAATGTACATGCCAAAGAGAACTATTATAAGGGATATTGAATTACATCCTCCCGAAATCTATGCATCGACTCGTATAAACGAATACTGATACAGCTTAGCCAGGGAAGTAGTTGTTTTTCTCCCGAAATCTACTATTGTTGTTCATTTTATGAACACTGTGTGGAAAGACTTTGAGCTTTTTGTATTTTATTCAACATTTCATTCCACTTTGAGCATTGCGGCTATTTCGTAGTTGAAATTACACCAGTCGGGCAACCAGCCACTCCCGTATGGGAATTTCAGTTTTGGAGTGATTCTTTCCTTCTGTTCTACTCAGATGGCGTTGCTTTCATATTGTCGATGAAAGACGCCTCTGGGGAATATAATGCCGACTTGAGTTTTGTTTGGCTAGGCTTCGCTGAGTCGGCGGTCTTAGGACTGCTGGCTGGAGACTACACTGCACTGTTGAGAGTCAAAGAGCTCGAAACCGCTCTGTGGTTGTCTAGCGTGGCCTGGCTAAATCGAAATCAATAGGCATGCAGGAAAGAATCACTTCGTTTATACGAGTCGATGCATAGATTTCGGGAGGATGTAATTCAATGTTCTGCGTGGCAGTAGCCAGGAAAGTAGTTTTTTCTCCTGAAATCTAGCATTGTTGTTCATTTTATGAACATTGTGTGGAAAGACTGAGCTTTTTGTATTTAATTATCAAATCATATTTCCGACAACGAAATATCTTGCTTGTACAGGCCGATCTGATTTCCGAAAATTAAACACTATCATGGAAATGCTTTACAAGAATCTAGCTGCACCATTTACAGATATTTTTTTTTTCAACTCGTCCGTTATCTACTTCATAGAAAATATTTCAGATGATGAAATTTACACGAAATTCACAAGAATACGACGTTTCGCTAACAAAGCATCTTCTTCAGGGAACTGGTATAATAAATTAACATAATTGATCTGACGGCTCACCAGATGCAGCGACTTCAGCAAAACATGAGGTTTTCTTGAGACTTTTGGTGTAAATATCATCGTTTGTTGTGAAGTTTTGCAGATAGAAAATGAAATTCACAAATGGAGTACAATAAATAAAAATACAATGATTTACAAGAATCTAGCTGCACCATTTACAGTTTTTTTTTTCAACTCGTCCCTTACCTACTTGATAGAAAACCATAGTAGATGAAAATATTTCAGATAATATTTACACGAAATTCAGAAGAACAGGACGTTTCGCTAACACAGAATCTTCTTCAGGAAAAACTGGAATAATAAATTAACCCAATTGGTCTGACGGCTCAACAGATGCAGCAACTTCAGTAAAACATGATTCTTGAGACTTTAGGTGTAAATGTCATCGTTTGTTGTGAAGTTTTGCAGATGGAAAACGAAATTCTCAAATGAATTAAAATAAATTAAAAAACAATGCATATTTTCACGAAATTCACAAGAACATGACGTTTTGCGAACACAGCATCTTCTTCAGGAAGAACTTGGTATAATAAATTAACCTAATTGATCTGACAGCTCAACAGATGCAGCAACTTCAGCAAAACATGATTCTTGAGACTTTAGGTGTAAATCTCATCGGTTGTTGTGAAGTTTTGCAAATAGAAAATGAAATTCACAAATGCAGTACAATAAATTGAAAAACCACCGGGTTACCTTCATAAATCTAATTCAATCATTTTGAATTTAAAACATACACTTTGTCTCCTTAACAATCATAAATTCCTATCATCTTCGACAATCAAAATTAAAATATAGGAAAACCCTAACTGCATACTACACACAAAATAGAAACGTTAGATTCCAATTTTACATTACGACTTAATTAAATTACGTACATGAACTATGTACCGGATTACACAATTAATATAAAGATATTCCTTGGATAGATTCAGAGAAATCCGCGACTCAATGCCGGGATCGGTGCCCGTCCTCACCTCGTCTGTCTCGCTCCCTCTCGCCGCGTTCGCTGCGCTCGCCGCGCTCGCTCTCTCTCGTCCTGGTCGACTCGCGCTCCCTGTCGCGGTACCTGTCGTCGTAGTAGCGAGACGATTTCGTCGGCACGTCGCCGCCGGCGTCCACAGGCTCCGTCGGAGTCTTGTTCCTCGATCTCGACACTCGCGATCTGCTTCACAAAAACCGATCACAACATTAGTAGATTGTTTCATTAGGATCAAAAGTGACACTCGCAAATGCAATATTCGCTTGTCAAACAAAGTGTCACTTCTGATCCGAATGAAACAACACAAAGTTGAACTTTAGTTTCTAGGAGCTAAAGTTGAACTGAAAAAATAATAGTAGATTGTTTTATTAGGATCAAAAGTGACACTTCGTTTGACAAGCGAATTTTGCATTTGCGAGGCGGATCGTTTAGCGAAGCCGAGCGAAAGCAGAATTTGCGAGTCGAACAAAGTCACTTTTGATCCGAATGAAACATGCTATTTTTTCTGCAACCGAAACAATCAACTCAAATAAACATGTGAAGTAGCCACCAATGCCGTGCCATATGTATGCAATGCAACAAATATTGACAAATAATCCATGCGGTGAGAATATTCTACCTGCATTAACAGCAGGTTAGGTTTTCTAGGATGTTTGAATTGTAGTTTCAATATAAATACAACCACAGAGTGACATATTTGTGTATGGACCAGGTGCTCTAATGGCAAATACCGCGCCAGTGCCAGCTATAGGAACAAGACGTGGAAAATGTTAGGTTAGTGAGCATATCAACAATGATAATAGTGATTATTTATTCCTCTCCATACTACACTTGACGTGATAATCAAATGAAGCTAAACAATATCGTTGTTTGAGACAAAAAAACTATTGCTTGCCGTGATTATTCAAAAACAAGTTATCCATCCCGAGAATAACGAATGAAATACAGATCACGCAAGTATTTGAATCTTGAAGGCTTTCCTGATCAAAACAAAAATACTTAACTGAGATGTTTATAATTTCAATAATAAACATAATAAGGTTAATTTATATTTCCAGCATGGGGATGAAATGCCAAATGTGCTGAAACCGGAAACAAATCAGGTATGCGTCTCAACCCAAATAACCAACCGTCACAATGTTGTTTATTCTTGATGACGTCCAGTAGTTCCTTTTTAGTTCCTAGGAGCTCAAGTTCAACTTTAGCTCCTAGGAACTAAATATGTTGCCTAGCAACATACCTATTTTTGTTCAGTAATAGAAACGTCAATTTAAGAGCTAATTTTGGTATCAAAATGGACGACTTTAGTGTCGGTTGCAGAAAAATAACATTGTTACGGTTGGTTATTTGGGTTGGGACGCATACCTGTTTTGTTTCCGATTTCGGCAGATTTGGAATTTCAAACCCATGCTGGAGATATAAATACACCTTATTATAGTTGAGTATAAGAATTATACACATCTCAGTCAAGTATTTTTGTTTTGACCAGGTATAGGACGTGGAAAATGTTAGGTTAGTGAGCATATCAACAATAATAATAGCAATTATTTATTCCTCTCCGTACTACACTGTGTTTGACTTGATGATCGAATAGAGGTAGATAAAACTGCATTCATCATGCGATGGTATTTTTTTCGAAAATGTTTTGGTACTTACGTATTTCCGTCTGAAAACACGAATTCCACAATGAGAATGTGAACAAACCGCTGCTTATCGAGATATTTTACGAAGAAGTTCGAAATTTTGCTTTCTTTTGCCACCAATTTTGGATATTCTTTTTCAACTACTTGTCCTTCTTTTTCCATCACTGGACACTTTTTATATTCACGTTGTACTTCAATAACACATTTTATTTCCTATCATCAACAAGAAGTATGTTTTTTTTTTTAATTTCTACATATTTAGTGAGGTAAACAATCACAGCAGCTGACGGCCATTCAATAATTCAATCAACAAATCTAGGACATACGTTACGATACAAAATTTTGCGAGTAAACCAATCGCTTTTGAATGACGTTACACCCGCTATCATTTTGAATTCGCAATAATATTCTTCCTTCTTCAATATCTTTCCGCTTGAATGGTTGATAATAATTGTTATATGATATGAATAATCTCCAGAATAAGTTATCTTATTTACCTAGCTATAAGCCAAGTAACTCAATTTTTTCCGAATAATTTCACATAAAATATTTAATTTCATTTAATTGTAGATGATTATCTTTGGCTAATACAAGATATTGTTGGAGAATGTGAATTCTGGCCAAATTATAGGAACACATTTAAATATGGGAGAAGAATAAAAATATGTTCCTTCTTTTACTCAAACGGAATGCGAGATCATAATGATTTATATAGATTTCTAGTTAGGGTGAAGGGTATGCATTTTATGCATTTATATTATAAGGTGATATCCGATATTTATAAATATCTCTCAGATGAAGAGAAAGGATATGAGAGGAGAGCAAGATATTTTAGCAAATGTATGATGCACAACATTTATGAAGATTTGAATGGTGTATACCCAGGAAGAAAAATAATTTGCATTTGAGAGAAGTCGAGCAAGTGAATAAATAAATTTAATTAAAAAATTGAAAAAAAAAAATTTTGGTACATATTTCTGGTTGTCAAGAAGAAATTGTGAATTCTCTTCTCGTAAGAGAAATGTCTTTTTAAAATGAATTCTGCGAGGTAGCCTATAATGTGGTCCTTCTTCCTCCTATACCGAGGTATACCAGACCTCACTTCCCTTCATGTTCGTTCAATATTTTGGGTACGTGCACCTGAAATGTTGATTTCGAATACTCATTTACAGGAAAATATTTCAAAAAACAAACCTGCTTCAGGATCTACAAAATTGATACTGTGATTCACAGTGAGGTGCTCAAACTCTTCTTGATTCGTTCGTGCCTGGCCTAACCCACTGGCGAATGAGGCCGATTAGTGTGTCGGCCGTCCTGTCGGGTACTGGTACCAAGAAAATGTTGTTGGAACCTCTCTCGATCCCCCCAAAAATCCAGTGACCCTCGATAATGCGCCCCTTATTGTATTTTATTGTCCCAAATTTGGCCTCATCAATTTCCACCACATTCCCAATTCCGCCTAGCAAAGTTGAATTGGTGATGCACCACTCAATGCAAACCTACAAATAATATAATATATGTACATGTCGGATATCATGGATGTACTTATCATGGCCTGATGTTATATCAGATATTTACCTTCCTACAAAAGTTGCTCCAGTCTACCACACTGTGTTCTGCAATTTGTAATTCTTGTGTAAGGAATTTGTGACGAGGATGCGGTAATAACAGGAAATATCCGACAAACATAGCCGTTTTCTCCAGTCCCAAACGTCCCTCGAAAAAAGTGTGCTGAAGGAACAACTTTTTTTTCTTAATGTGTGCCCCCTTCGCACCACTACGCTTTTAGTACATCTATATCTCAGAGAATCCTCCACTAATGGACACATATTCCCACAACGTTCGCATTCCACTGATTCTACCATCACTCCCATTTCAAATAGAAATCTAATAAATTCAGTTCTTTTTTTCACCAGAAAAATATAATCGCTCAACATCAAATCCATTTTCAGGATACAGAAAAACAAAATAATTTCTCCGTAATGTTCGAATACACTTACATAGGAAGAATATTGAATTTAAATTCGAAAAGTGAATTGTTGCAACAACTCGAATTTGTTGCATTGCAGCTAAACATTTTTCGAATTACGCTTGGTATATAGAATAATTCCTATTTATTCTGGAGATTTATATCGTATAACAGATAGTTTAGATCATTTAGTAGAAAAAGTTTGAAGGAGGAATATATCATTTCAAATTCAAAAAGATGGCGGTTGAAAGTCATTCAAATGCCATTGGTCCAAAGTGCGTGAATGCACCCCTACGGAGGAAATCAATTCTGGCATGCATGCGACGTATGTCTTAGCCGTGTTTAATGGCCATCAGCTGGTGTGATTGTTTACTTCACTAAATATGGAAAAATCTCCGAGAAAAACGTACTATTTGTTGATTTTAATGAATAAATTGTTTCATTGAAGTACAACGTGAATATACAAAGTGTCCAGTGATGGAAAAAGAAGGACAAGTAGTTGTAGATGAATATCCAAAATGGGCGGTAAAAGAAGGCAAAATTTGGAACTTTTTCGTAAAATATCTCGATAAGTAGCAGTTTGTTCACATTCTTATTGTGAAATTCGTGTTTTTCAGACGAAAATACGTAAGTACCAAAAACCCATCGCATGATAAATGCAGTTTTACCGTAAACAATATCGTTGAGACAAAAAAACATTGCTTGACGTGATTATTCAAAAACAAATCATCCATACCGAGAATAACGAATGAAATACAGATCAAGCAAGTATGTGAATCTTGAAGGCTTCCCTGGTCAAAACAAAAATACTCAACTGAAATATGTTTAATTCCTATACTCAACTATAATAATGTGTATTTATATCTACAGCATGGGTTTGAAATTCCAAATCTGCCGAAATCGGAGACAAATCAGGTATGCATCCCAACCCAAATAACCAACCGAAACAATGTTGTTTATTCTCGATGAAGTCTATTACATCCTTTTTAGTTCCTAGGAGCTACAGTTCAAGTTTACCTCCTAGCAACATACCTATTTTTGTGTCAGTAAAAGAAACGTAAATTCAAGAGCTAATTTTGGTATTAAAATGGACGACTTTTGTGTCGGTTGCAAAAAAACGGTATTTATTTATTGGAGAGTTTCGCATTGCCGACCGGACGCGACCACTTGGATCACACTTCGACCACAGGGTTTTTGATTGATGACCACATTGACCAAACTTTAAATGGTAACGTTTTTCATTGAAGACTAAGGCCGATCGATCCAAGGCAACTTCGCCCGGGCTTTTTGATGGTCGATGCGGTTCAAGGATATAAAGTATAACATCAAAACAATCAAATTACTCAAAAAAAGGGCATCTACAGTCTTCAAAATTGAGTGACTCTTACCGCTTTATTTCAACAAAAATAGCATTACATCTCTGGATGATTCACTCGAGTGTATTATTGCTTATTTATACAGTACAAAATTATTATTTTGTCAACAAAATCTGTCTCGAAGAATTCAGTGATTCATATAGATGATTCCTAATGTATCTGGTTTTTAGGGTGCCAGGTAATGTGATATTTTCGGTATATTATCAATTGATCAGTGAAGTTCACGGTTTTAAAGGTATTTGTATAATAGCGACCCGTCGAAATTATCCGTGTTTGTCATTGTGATTAGTCACGTGACCCTAACGACCAGTCGGTCAAGCCGGTCGACAACCAAAAACTCTGTCTATGCTAACAAGATGATGAACCTCCATGTGAAATGTTAAGCCATAGAACTCATAATCTTTATATCCTATGACTAGAAGGCGCGTTCCTATGGTTTTGATACCAAATTTCTGAACAAAATACGGGCATTGAAATATGGGCCAAATTATACTAATCTCAGACCTACGTGACTGTACGGTAATACAGAAGGGGAGAGAAAGTACTGAGACATAGGTCATGCATTCTCAACGGTTTGTTAACAAACAACGGAATGCTGCCACTTGTGACTGTGCTTGTTATTGAATTTTATCCGAAAAGTCGAAAATATTATTATTAGATCTTTGGTAATATAAATATTATATTTGGTTGTTGTGATGAAGTGATATGTTCAAGACTGCATAATTCCTTGTTGAACATAAGGGCGAAGTAAAAAGGCAAATATAAGTACCTATCTAAAATACTTCTGATGCCTATCTGAGTATCTGTACCTATCACATAAGTACTCTAGGTTTCACGAATCCAGTTACAAAGAATGGTCTTGGGATACAGTCTAACTTGAAATGGCCACTCACAAACAATGAACTCAATATAAACACCTGGTAGGGAGACGGTCGTTCTCTCGAATAGCACAAAGTATGTCAGGGGCAGCTGCAACAAAGATAGCTTATGTTACGGTAACCTGTCTCTTTCCTACTCGTGTTGTTTAATGGTGGATTGGTGTTCAAGTTTTCTTTTATCTAATAATTGAAGTACTCCAGATTTTTTCTCTCATTTAAACAGGCAAGGAAGTGAAGACATTAGTTCATTGACTTTGATTATGTGAAATATCTCTTCATTTGGCGTGTTTTGTTTTATCAAAAGGACAGAATTTGTTGGTGAGAACTGATTGTTGAGAAGGTTTGCGATTTCATAATATTGATAAACAATGGTGATTTATTGTGTCGCCATTGGAAGCAAGAACAAGCAAGACAAAAGGAAATTGTCACTCCATGCGCAAGATGAATATTGTTCCGATTTTTGGAAAATATAGTTCTTGTAATGATCATCAGGTACAATGTTCCCAGTCTCAGAATATGTTCAAAACCAATACCTATATTATTTGTCAAAGTTAAATACTTCCATGACTTTTCCATAAACATATTAAGTAATATTATTTGTTGTAGTTTTCCGAGAGTTTTCCATTCAAAAGACCAGACATTCTTGAATTATGGATTAAGGCAGTTTGTAGAGAGAATTGGACTTCATCTAAAACCAGCAAGCTTTGTGGAGAGCATTTCCTGCCAACTGATTATTTATTTAGACATACCAGGTACTGCTAGGTTATTGAAACCAGATGCTGTACCAAGTATATTTTCATTTCCTAAGCATTTGTTACCAAAAAATGCTGATCCTCGCAGAAAAATAAGAAAACTCATAGGTACCGAGTTGATTAATAATGAAAAAAAAAAGTATGTTTGCACCTCTTTAAAATAAAAAACTAGCTAGTAATTTATTTTCAGGATGCATCTGTGGACGTTCATAACTTGGGTCCTAATAAGGAAGATGTTCCTCATATTATGGACTTTGATTTGCCTACGACTTCCAGCACCCAAGTTTCGAATTTCATCAATAAAGAAACCCAAACTGTTTGTTCCATTCCAGAAAGATATTGTATTGAGAATTGTATTTTTTCAATTTCTAATAGGGATATTTTTGTAGGCAGTGACCGAGTGGAAAAATAGGAAACTATGGAAATTATGCTCAAAATGAACCTTAGGTACTACTCAATACCATTCAAGAACCTCTTTTCAAATTTTTCCTATTATTTTTCTTTTTCTTTCGATAGTGCTAAGACATTGTGCTTTGCTCACCCTATACAATATATTGTGACATTTTAATGAAAATATATAATTTCAATTTTGTATTCATTTGACTTCCTAATCCTGTAAGAATAAAAATGAAATCTCATTTTCAAGTCAATAAAAAAAGCAATAATAATTTTTTAATGATAATTGATTGCAACATTGTCCTTTTTTCTAAATGAATATTTATATTTATTTATATACGAGAAAATATTTCATATAATGCGAACGCTTACCATTAGCCAACATAAGATAGAAAGAGATAGGTATCCGTAACCACTGCGGGTTGCCTGAACAATATTTTTGCCTCACTCGTTCACACAGGGTTCCTTCCAGGTGTATGTATTGAGTTCATTGCTCACAAAAAATGACTACTATTTTCTACTGAACCAATACTATGAACGATAATTGACGGTTCCAGAAAGTGAATTGTTTTCAATACAACTGGAAAAGGTGTAGTCTCCATATACGTATCAATAAACAATACGGATCATAACGGGTGCCAGGATGAAGCCAAAAATATGAAACAAATGAATATCCATAAGGATTTGGTGGCATGATACGCATGCGCCATGCGCTATTATAGTAGTCATCAAAGACATGAGTTTCGGTGGACAATGACGTTTACTAGCCTTTCAATCAAAGCAGTATGTGTCTGATCGTTTCAAAACTTTTCCTTATGGATAGTCATTTGTCTTCAAAAATCGGCTTCTTGTTTCGCTATGGAAACAGATAGAGATTATCCGTATTGATTATTAATACGTATATGGTAGTCTCTCTAACAAAAACATACCTCGTCTCGTAGACATAAAATTGTCTGTTGTTTATTTTGTACTTTAATTGCTTTTTTTATAGTGTGAAGTGTTTCAAACCAATGAATGAATATCTATATATTTCTCAACTTGTCAAGAGGAACTTGTATTGAATCACACGAAAGCCAGTTTACTAGACGACTAAACGATGCAATCTCACTGCATCTATGTAATTTTTATGGATTTTGAATCATCTACATTCTACATCCACCATCTACACATATACATATCTCTCTCGCTGGCCAAAAATATCATCCTCCACAAAGTGAGCCATATATATACTCACGTATCTTCCGGCTCTCTGTCCCTGTAATCGCCCCTCTCTCGCTCCCGCTCTCGGTCCCTCTCCTGTCTATCCCTGCTCCTCGATCTCTCCCTCTCTCTGTCCCTGTCGGCATACCTGTCCGCGTAATACCGGTCGCGCTCCCTATCCCTGTCTCTCTCGCGTTCCCTGTCCCTGCTCCTGTCCCTGTAGCGCGACGAAGACCGCTCGCGCCTGGTCCTGCGATGAGACCTGTCTCTGGACCTCGAGCGATCCCTCCTGGCCGAGCTGTAGCTCTTGTCCTCGACTCCGCGCAGCGTGTCCTGCAGCGAGCTGATGAGGATCTTGCATCTGTCGTCGTTGGCCACCTTGCTCTGCTTGATCAGCGAAATGGCGGTGACTAGCGTCTCGATGGCGCTGGCGTACTCTCCGGCCGCCGCATCCGACACCGCTCTGCCGATGGCCGAAGACGAGACGGTCCTGTTTCTCGACATGATGTCCTCGAATTCCTGCGAAATAGAAACAATCAATAGAATCATCTTTCAATCTTTTCGATTTATCGAAATAATCGATAGTTTGAACACTAAATCTAGAAAAATACTATGACCTTCATCACAATGAGACAAGGCTCAGAGATTTTTTTTTGTGTTTCTTATTCCTTCTCTAGATTTCCCACAAAGAGTTCCTAAAGATATGCTGCCGTTAGAATACGATGGCGGTACAGACGTCACAAGTAGGAAAGGCAATCTTGTTCTCACAATGGGCGAGATCTCGCGAGTTTAACGATATTTTGAGCTGTGAACTGAACTAACGTTTCATTTGATTGATTTATTTTGTAAATTAATCTCTAATTTCTAAAAGATCTCTTAGTAGGTATAGTTTTCTTCAATTAATAATAGTTTACGAGTTTCATTGATGTTTTTGGCTTGTTTTTTTGTCTTAAAAAACTGTTGTCATTGAAGGTTGGGAAGTGTTACATTAAATTAGATTTGGAATGGGGCCTTCGGGCTATCTGCCTCCACACTGCGACCTTTTCAGATCTATTGTGCCTGCCCTCAAAATCGATTAGAGTTCTTCGGCTAGCCCCGCCTTCTTTATGAGACTCCATAGGCTAGCTTTTAGTCAAGCTGACGAAGCTACTGTTTTAGTGAAACATGTCGTGTGTTTGAGAATTTTGTGGAAATCTTATCGTTTGTGAAGTTTTCATATTTGCCATGGATTTGCATTAAGTAACGGCCGAATCAATTCAAAAAAATCAATAGTTCAAGTTTATAAAAAAACTCAGATAGGTACGTCAAATAATGTTGAATACATGAAAGTTTATCGAAAAAATTCGAGAAAATAAATGTTCATTTCATAATACCTATACTAATTCTTATTATTTTTTTCTTAATTTATTCAAATATTGTGATTATTTGCAAGAAAAAACACATTAAACTGCCCAGAGCCGGACCGTGGGCGTGGCGAAGGAGGCATTTGCCACGGGCTCAAACGACCTAGGGGCGAAAAATGTGGAATATAGTATATTCCATTTTAAATAAAGATTGACTACAAGCTCTATATTTCAGAGTGGCGTATTTACCAGTTCACAAAGTTGAGTGACACGTAGTTAACGAACTCTACCAAAACGGAACAAAATCCTAGAAAATGATACATGGAGCGAAACACAACAAAATCAATCTAGCACTACAGAACCAAAGATTAAATGTTGAGGATGGTGCAAAAATGATGAAAGGACTATCTGATTAAATTCATAATTATAGATCTGATTTCTTCGAGTCTCTATATCAGAATCCTCCAAATCATTCGCTGAAACAATCAATATTGGAGCGAATTTTAGAGAGGAGAAGAAACGTAAAATTGAAAAAATGCCAGGAGAAGAAACTAATGATGAGGCTTCCATTACGGATAGGAAAAGTCTTTTGAAAAAGGAACTCCTTCAAGTATTGGACTCCATATCGATGCAACTTGGAGAAAGATTTACTGCGATGTCAGAAGTTTCTGAAGACTTCAATTTTTTGAAAGGAATATCTATAGAAGAGTCTTCACTTGGTGAATTGAAGAAGAAAGCTGCGGATTTGGCATTGAAATATAGTTTCGATTTGGATCCGTATGCGAATTAGAGAGCTTCAAATTTCAAGCATGTGCAATGTTTACGGACTTGGACAAAATGAATGCTCTTGATATTCTTCGGAAAATGCGTGAATTGTCGCTTCAAACAATATATCCTAATCTGGACACAGCTCTCAGAATATTCTTAACATAACCAGTGACCACAGCAACATGTGAAGGGTCGTTTAGTAAATTGAAATTAGTGAACGATTGAGTTTTTGTTCATTACCTTTTAAGAAATATGGGAGATTATTGTGAATAAAAAAGTTCTTCAAAATATTTTCAATAAATGTCAATTATAAATAACATGTATTTATTGAAAACTGAATTTCTTCAGAGGCGCATTTTGAAAGCTTGCCACAGGCGCTAGAATCCTAGTTCCGGCTCTGAAACTGCCAATCTCGCGAGATCTCGAAATTGGCGAGATCTTCAAAAACTCGCGAGATCTCGCCTTCTCTAGTCAAAGTTCTATAACGCGCCGAGTCGAAAAAAAATTGATAATTGTGAGTTTTTTTGTTTAGACTAGTGCTGAAGCCTTTGAAAACGGTAGAGTGAAAAAAAATATAGTGGGATGAAACCCATTGGAAAAGAAAGAGAATATAACAAAGATGAAAGGGAAAATAAATTACGGGCGATCTGAGGTCGAGTGGTAGGGGGTGAGTTTTGAAGGGTAAAAAACGGTTCATCTTGTTTTCCGGCAAAACAACAAGCCCTATGGAAAATAGTTGAATGGCATGGCAAATATAAAGGTAATAATGATAAATTTTATATCCAAACTTTTTTCACATAACCTCAAAATTTATGTGAAAAATGCAAATAACCAAGTTTTTGGTTCTTTATTTTTCTTTACAAAAAACGAAAAATTTCACGAACTTTTGTGAAAACACTTCTCTATGTGCCAAATACACTGTAATTTTTTTTATTTTAAATAATAAATTTTTTCACGTTATTTTGAATCAATATCGAAAAAGCACCCTAGTTTTCAATAAAAAATTCTCGTTTCAAAAAATGTTTCTTCATAAAAGTCGATAGACTTTTTGTTCGTTGAAATATCTACTTTCTGATGGATTAAAAGCAAGTAAATGTTCTCAGAAAATGCAAAGAAACGAAAAAGCAGCAGTCACATTTTTGAGATGAAATCCCTTTATTATTATTTATAACAATTACTATTTTCCCATGTTTTTTGCAATTTTTTTGTAAAATAAAAATAAAAAACCAAACACTTGGATATTTGAATTTTTCACATAAATGTTGAGGTTATGTGAAATAAGTGTATGGATCTTTTTATTACCTACAACTTTGCTATTCAACTTTTTTCCATAGGACTCGTAGTTTTGCCAGAAATCCAGATTAACTGTTTTTTACCCTCAAAAGCTCACCCATTTCTACTTCAGATCGACCGTAATTAATTATTTCTTTCATTTTTGTTATATTCTCTTGCTTCTTCAATGGTTTTCATTCCATTATAATTTTCTTCAGTTTCAAAAATTATCGACCCTGCGCTGGCCCAATATTACGTGGTTAAGTAACACACTGCTCAAAATGAGAAAAACGAATTTTAAATATTTTCCTTTAGAATTGAAAATATGGTCATATTTAAATCATTTTTGTTCCCCTTCATCCTGTTGGGTGTAAACAGAAAGTAAAGAAAAAAAAAAAAATAACTAATTACCGAAAAATACATATTTCTGTATTCAAAAAAACATACAAATTTTTACAAAATGTGTATTTTTTTTTAATTTTTTTTTATCGATTGGAGCGCACGAAAGGGAATCCCTATAATGTTCAAAGAACATCGTGCGTTCCTAGGGAGGATAGGGACAGGAGGTAGGTATTGGAATTTTTTTTGAATTTTTGGAGATTATATGTTGTTGGGAATACTTCCACAGGCAATGAATTCCAGGGCCTAGCCGTTCTATGGATGAAGGAGTCTTGATAAAGTGCTGTTCGACATCTTTCGAGGTTGACAACGAAAGGATGTGCTGACTGGGCTTGTCTAGTTCGTCTGATTGGTATTGCTAGTGAAGGGATGATTGCAGAGATTTCCGAAGAACATTTCCCGTGGAAGTATCGATAGAAAAGTGAAAGGTCGCCGACCTTTCTACGGTGTTCCAATGATGTCAAAGAGTGAGTGAGTGTGGCGTCACCCACCAGGCGAATGGCTCTTCTCTGGATGGAATCTAAGAGCATCAGCGTATGTTTTGGTGCTGAACCCCATATGTGGGAACAGTATTCTAGAACAGGCCGTATCTGCGCTTTGTAGATCATGAGAAGCTGTTGAGGTGTAAAGTAGCTTTTCGCACGGAACAAGAATCCGAGTTTTTGTGAAGCAGCTTTTGCGATGGATCTGACATGATTATCCCATGAAAGAGTGTTGCTGATGGAAATACCGAGCATAGATATGGTGGGCTTGGTGGGGATGGTGGAGCCAGACATTACAATATCGGGCATACTGAGTTCCGCCTTTCTAGAGAAAAAAACCTTGGAATAGGTACTGAAAAATGTTTTAGATACTAAAAAAAAATTGAAAATAGATTGATCTCGAACTAAAACTTCAATGAACTGAAGAAAAAAATGCATTTTCAACTAATGAAAACATTTATTCCATTATACTAAACAGAAATTTTTCTGATGGCCCAAGAAAGTGTTTGGGATCACACTTCAAAAGGTAAGACCCTCGTCATTCCTTGCTCGCACAAGTCTCTCGAAGATTTCGAATGACGGACAGAACAATTAAAATAATAATAATAATAATAATAATAAATTATTCAAATTTATTATCCCTTTTCTCTTCTTTATTTGAAATTTTCAGAAGTTGGTATAGTTTTGGAATATTCTATGACATCTTCCGGCATCCATTTAATTTGAAGATTGAATGGAAGACTCCAATCTTATTCGGAGGTAAAATATGTAAATGATTTCGCATAACGTTTTTTTTTTAATATTGGCCTGATACTCTTACAAGCGACTATGTTGTCTGGGCTACACATACAGGATGAGGCATAGGAACCAAGGTTTTTTGGTTTGGGTAGTACTCGGCATTAAAAAAGGGCGGGGCGCGCGGTTTATTACAATTTATTCCTCGACTCGAAGCATTTCACTTTCTCAGTTGCCACTTGTCATCATAGAGCGGTGGACGCTAGAACAACGCGTGTTCGTTATTGATTCCTATGCCCCGTCTTTCAGAAGTATGCAAGAAAAACACACTGACCAAAGAGTTCACTGAGAAACAAGTGGAAGAAAGACTTGCTATTATCATGACCAAAGCTTCTGAGAGAGGCAATAGAAGACTGCAAGTAAGTTATCGTAGAGGGTGGGGCATAGGAAGCAAGTGTTTGTGAAATAACAATAACGAACTCGCGTTGCTCTAGCGCATGGGTGGCCAACCTTTTCAGTAGCCGGGCCAAATTTCAGAAATAAGATTCCTCTCTGGGCCACGCTCCATTTTTTTTTTATATTGAAAGAAAGACTTGCTATTATCATGACCAAAGCTTCTGAGAGAGGCAATAGAATACTGCAAGTAAGTTATCGTAGAGGGTGGGGCATAGGAAGCAAATGTTAGTGAAATATCAATAACGAACTCGCGTTGCTCTAGCGCATGGGTGGCCAACCTTTTCAGTAGCCGGGCCAAATTTCAGAAATAAGATTCCTCTCCGGGCCACGCTCCATTTTTTTTTTATATTGATAGTATGCGATCAAACTCTCTCCTAGTCTATCGTTACCGGAAAAAAAATATTGTTATTTATTTTCTCAAAAAACATCGAAAAACTGAAAATTAAACATATTTATTCATTAGAAAACGAGCCAATTTGAGAGTATTACAGTTTAGTGAGACGTCTAACTTTGTTTGGCAGAACTGAGTTCTTCAATGTTGATTTCTACTGATGTTGCTACACGCAAACTGTTTTCTAAATGTTTATCAGTTATTCGGGTTCTAACTTGGGATTTGATATGCTTCATGCGACTAAAGAGCTGTTCACACGCATAAGTGTTTCCAAATAGCGAAACCATCCACAGAGCATGTTTGTAAAACGCAGGATATTCATCTTTGTCCAAATACATTTTATAAATCTCTTTCAAACCAACCTGATGGTACTTCTCTTTCAACTGTGTATCACAACACATTTCACAATGTTCCATCTGTAATCCGCCTGGTAACGAATTCACGTCTACAGCGATTGGCGTTGCAAATGCAGAAAGAAGCACACGATGTTTTTTGAAATCCTGAAATCTGTTTTCAAATTTACGATTCAAGTCAGATATCAAAGAAGCGAATTTATCTGCTGCTTCCTGCCTGACATCTGGTTGCAATGACAACGTTGGAAAGTGAGTGAAGTTTTTTGTCCTCAACTGTTGTTCCCAGAGTCCGAGTTTCATTTGAAATGAAGAAATGAGATCATCAAGATTATTAATTAATTGATCTTTTCCTTGTAAACTCGTATTAACGTCATTGAGGTGGCTAGTTATATCGACCAGAAATGCAAAGTCCCAAACCCACTCTTTGTCTCCAAACTCTGGGATACATTTCGACTTACTTTCAAAGAATAATAGTATTTCTTGTTGCAAATCAAATACTCTTCTCAACATTTTCGCGCGGGTAAGCCATCTCACTTCTGCATAAAATGTAACGTCATCATAATCTGAGTCCAAAGATTTGAGAAATTCTTGGAACTGTCGGTGGTTTAACCCCTTCGACTTAATGAAGTTCACTATTTTGATAACAACTCTCATAACATGGTCCATTTTGAGGGACTTTGAACATAAATTCTCCTGATGAAAAATGCAATAATATTACCTACGTTATAGAACGCATTATTTCATGCTCTTTTGAATAGAAGTTGACAAAAAGTCAAGATTTTTCTTCATTCGACCCAGCTTCACGGGCCACAAGGAAACAAGCGGCGGGCCGCGTGTTGGCCACCCATGCTCTAGCGTCAATCGCTGCATAATGGCAAGTGGCAATTGATCAACCTCTCCATGATGGCAAGTGGCAACTGTGAAAACTGTGAGAGCTTTTGATCAGGATATCACAAACCACAATATACTATAATTCCGGCCGATTTGACCGGGACCCAAAAACCCATAAGAGCGGTGCGGGGTCCTTTGTAACATACACCTTCGTTATATTGGGCCAGGGACTGATCTAATACTAATTAGAGTCACTGGATGGTATTAGTTTGATAAGAGTTCGGACACAGCTGAACTTTTGTCCTTTTCTATTTTCTATAATACAATGGTTTAAGTGAATAAAAGAATAAGACATATATTCTGCTCTTTGTTTTTTCAATTTCCCTAGAAGCGCCTGATTGTCAAATACGATTTTAGAGGTTCATTTTCTGTCAAATCAATCATAGCCGTAGATGGACAATGGATATAGGGTACAAACACCCACTTCAATGTATAGTGATACACTTCTAGCAGAACAACTGTTATATAAATGAGAAGAATGCATGTACCAACGTTTTAATATTAGAAAATATACACATATGGATAAACTTATAGCTATAAATCCTTATTGTATGTCAAACTGTACTCCAGTGATGAGTATAAAACATGAAATATTAATATTTAATCAAAGGTAGGTATTCACAATATACAGGAAGTAACATAAATACGTTCAAGTGAAGTATTCCTGAGACAATTTTGGGAAATAAAGTGTATATAAGCTTGTGTCCGGAAATGTTTCATTTCGGAGATACAGGGTGTTGAAACACAGAGAACAATAAATCATTTTTCGATAAACATTTCCTTGGAAAAAAGTAGTTAATTTTGACGAGACCTACCAAATACATTTTTCTGTAAAGTTCTCAGCAACTTCACTTAGCGCCTTATGAGCTAAGCATCTAAGTAACATGGATCGATATACCAAATACATTTTTCTGAAAAGTTCTCAGCAACTTCACTTAGCGCCCTAGGAGCTAAGCGTCTAAGTAACATGGATCGATATAGAAAATATCTCCAAAACGATAACCTCCAGCGTTCCCTTGATACATAAATAATAATTCACTTTTCACTGTTGAATTTTGAATTTGATCGGCACCAAAAACGCCATTCAATAATATATAAGTGAATAAAAGAATAAGACATATATTCTGCTCTTTGTTTTTTCAATTTCGCTAGAAGCGCCTGATTGTCAAATACGATTTTAGAGGTTCATTTTCTGTCAAATCAATCATAGCCGTAGATGGACAATGGATATAGGGTACAAACACCCACTTCAATTTATAGTGATACACTTCTAGCAGAACAACTGTTATATAAATGAGAAGAATGCATGTACCAACGTTTTAATATTAGAAAATATACACATATGGATAAACTTATAGCTATAAATCCTTATTGTATGTCAAACTGTACTCCAGTGATGAGTATAAAACATGAAATATTAATATTTAATCAAAGGTAGGTATTCACAATATACAGGAAGTAACATAAATACGTTCAAGTGAAGTATTCCTGAGACAATTTTAAGAAATAAAGTGTATATAAGCTTGTGTCCGGAAATGTTTCATTTCGGAGATACAGGGTGTTGAAACACAGAGAACAATAAATCATTTTTCGATAAACATTTCCTTGGAAAAAAGTAGTTAATTTTGACGAGACCTACCAAATACATTTTTCTGTAAAGTTCTCAGCAACTTCACTTAGCGCCTTAGGAGCTAAGCATCTAAGTAACATGGATCGATATACCAAATACATTTTTCTGAAACGTTCTCAGCAACTTCACTTAGCGCCCTAGGAGCTAAGGGTCTAAGTAACATGGATCGATATAGAAAATATCTCCAAAACGATAACCTCCAGCGTTCCCTTGATACATAAATAATAATTCACTTTTCACTGTTGAATTTTGAATTTGATCGGCACCAAAAACGCCATTCAATAATATATCACGTTGTAGTTTCCTTGCTTTTCTTAGTTTTGTTTTCAAATTTCCAATTTCATTATGTAATTTTACGATCATGTCCTCTTTCCATGATTATTTTGTTCTGTATTTCGTGTGATGATAATAATGGAATTTTGAAATCGTCTGCTTTGTAAATTGATGGAATAGCAGATTCTCTCAAACAGATTTTGAAATCTTCTGTTCCAAAACTGGACCTAAAATATAGTTTTATTCTGTGATCAGATGCTGTTATAAGAAGCTAATTTTAATGAGTACCTCACAAATTTCGCTCGTCTTGAAATTGATTTTCCATCCAGGCCGTTTCATATCTTCCTTCCATAAGCGAATGGTTGATATTTGTTTTGGAAAATTGAATAAATGATATCCATTTTTATCAGATTTGGCACAATTTATTACACAGCAAGTGATTTCCATAGCTGCTTTTTTCTCGAAAGTATAATTATTACATTTCATTTCAAATCTGACGTTCATAAAATTTACTGTCAAACAAATTTGAATAAAAAGCGCGTGACGACTATGGTGCTATTGTCACAATGCAAGGTGTGTAACTAAATGAATCTAAACATTCAAAAACCCTAACAGTTGTCATTTCTGTGTCCGAACTCTTATCAAACTAATAGCATCCAGTGACTCTAATACTAATCAGATTATGTTTTCCGTGTACCTGTTCGCTCAACGACGGCATGTCTTGACGATGGTCCGGCGGCGGGCCCCCATACGGGGGCGGTTGCATTGGTGCCGGCGGGCCGTAGCCGTGCGGCGGACCGTGCGGCTGCACCGAAGGGGGGCCCATCGGGGGGCCGTGAGGGGGCCCGTGGGGCGGCCCGTGCGGTACGCCCTGAGGCGGTCCTTGCGGTGGCATTACTGCAATATCGAGGTATCGTTCTTATTGTCTGTTAGTTTGGCACTAGTAGTACATGTTTGTACTGACCGTTAGGTTGGTATCACAGTGGAAAATACCGTGGAGTTATAAAATAGTTGAATGGGTGAGATGTATGGTTTGAAAGGATGGGAACACTTTTTCGGATAAGCTTCGAACAAGACGGTTGTTGCGTCAGATAAAATGTGGAATCAATTACTTACAGTTTACCGAACCTTCAAACCATACAGCTTTTCACATCAAATAAAGATAATGGTGTCTTCATTTGCACTTTCCTCTGGCCTACATATAATACTGTATCAATGATTCTAAATACATATCTGACCCTGGGAGAACAAACCAACTAGTCAAAAATAAAATTAAAGTGAAAGATACATTCGTGGATATTTTGAAGGAAACGAGTGAAACTACTGTATCCATATTTATTGAACTGATTCGAGTCTGTTTTTATAGTAATAATGAATTGAAAAATTGTGATTCCCATACTCAATATGAAGAAATTTATTACTGTCGAGTAGCAAATGCAAACACCAGTCTATATGAGAGGCCTCACAACATAATCTTTTGCTATACTTCATAAAATGAAAATGACTCCTGATCAATGTAATCTTATTCTCAAAGAGATATGAAATAATTAGGTTGAAAAACCATAACATAATTTTGAATTGTTGTGAGACCATCTCATCAATTTGAGTAATATGTTCTGCACAAGATGTTGAAATGAGAGTTTGTAAAAAATGAATAACAACGCAGGCAAATGTCGACATAATTAATGAATGTCACTGATATAAGAATAATTTGGATTAGATTAAATACATCTTGTGCAGATAATAAATCAACTAACGGTTATACTAATGGTATTATGTAAAGATATATACATGATAAAATGTTTATCAAGAGTGGTCAATCAAATTTCGTTCAACAAAAAGTCAGTATATGATTATAAAAATACTAACAAGTTTATAGTAAGTTACAGTAAGGAATTCAAGAAAAAATACATTGTGTAAACGACAAATTCGATTTTGATCTAAGACTGTATTGTTAGTTCTTTTAGTATAGTAACTTCTGAATGATTAGTTCCAAACTACATTCACTAGCTCCTGGAACAAAATAAGAATAAAAACCTCTATCGATTTACTGACTTTTTGGTGAGCTTTGTAGTCACCTCTTTATGATATAAAAATAATAAATGATAAATAAAAACTCTAAACATAAAAAACAAACACAAAATAACCAGAACTTTACAAAACTTCTCAGATAACATTTCTAGACTTCTAGTTTCCCGGTAGCAAATAAAAATGTATACAAGAGATTAAAATTCAAGTTGAAACAATTCCGTGAGGCTACAGCAATCATTAACAGTTCTAGAAATGAAACTGATTTTTGTAATATCTTAGACGTTAAGAGCTTCTGGAAATTATCACCAGTTTTTCAACAAAAAAAATCATCTACAGATTTGTTAAATTGGAGTTATTCAAACAGATATCAGATGTTGTCACAATTGGAGGGAATGTATGTACAGTTAAATACACTATAATGATGTAACATAACGTCATTCTAGTGAAAAAATAATTGTTACAATCTATCAATTTCTTCCAAATGCACTGAAGAGCAGCGAAAAATCAATAACAGTATTTGTGTTTTGGCAATGGATGACAATGTCATATGAGCCACCATTTAGACTAAAAGTATTATAGCCAACATACATTATTTCAAGTTTTCAGTTTGCACATTACACAAATTGGAAAATAGACCAAAATAATAAATCAAACAGTATCCGATCAATGAACTAGATCTCATAACAAAGAGATCTAGGATGAATAGTGTTGCCCACATTTGTCAGCAAGAGCGAGACAGTACCGTTTCGGCCCAACATGAGGTCTGGACCGAAACAGTACCTCATGTATTATCCAGTGTCCTTTCAATTTTCCCCAACCACAAAGGACCCCGCAAATTTTCAAGGTAAATTGGGTCCCGGTGAATTTTTCTCAATTTTTGGTATAATGTAGTTCATGTGGTTCTATAAAATATTTGCATTGAGCAAACCCCCAAAAATGGACAGTTTTTTCGACAGGGAGGTTTGAATTCACAATTTGATCAAATTGACCATTTATTTCTGAGAAAATGAATGATGTTCTATAACTTTTCATTTCATTCAATTACTTCTAGAAATAGATTCTTCATGAAAAAAATATAGGGGGAAATCATTACTCCCAACCCCGATTTTGAAAACCGAAAAAAAAAAAAAATAATTCTCTCTGTCAAAAGTGATAGGAAATGTTTCATCAGGGATAATTATGGAAAACACATTTTTGCATAATTACCCCCCATCAAATGGGGGATGAGAATGGAAAAAAAATCCGGTGGATTTCGCTGATCAGAAAATCATCGGGTGACAATCCTGAAAAATGGACAGTTTTCCTGCTATAGAGTTTCAATTCAGATTCGAAAAAAAATAGATTACTATTTGTTTCTGAATAGAAAACTTTTTTGGAAGGAGGAAATGTTTAATATCAAATTATTTTTCTTATGCTTCTCGCGGTAGCACGAATTTTTTTTCATGATGGTTAGGGGGTGCGAACCCCCCCATTATTTCCGAATGAAAAATCATTAAGGAATAGGAATACAATATTCAAAAAATATTCAGAATCAAATGGTAATCAATTTTTTTCAAAATGTGGATTGAAACCCCCTATTGTAGAAAAACTGGCCATTTTTTAGGATTGTTACCCGATGATTTTCTGATCAGAATCATATGGACTACATCTTATCAGGATTCAGCGAAATCCACCGGATTTTTTTTTCATTTGCACCCCCCATTTGTTAGTGGGTATTTGGGTAATGATGCAAAAATGCGGTTTCCATAATTATCCGTGATGAAACATTTCCTATCACTTTTGACATTTAGATGAAATTCATTTTTTTTTTCGGTTTTCAAAATGGGGGTTGGGAGTAATAATTCCCCCCATTATATTATTTTCATGAAGAATCTATTTCTAGAAGTAATTGAATGGAATAAAAAGTTTTGGAATATCGTTCATTTACAGAAATAAATGGTCAATTCGATCAAAATGTGAATTCAAACCCCCCCTGTCCATTTTTGGGGGTTGGCTCAATGAAAATATTTTATAGAACCACATGAACTACATTATACCAAAAATTGAGGAAAATACACCGGCACCCAATTTACCTCAAAAATTTGCGGAGTCGTTTACTATCCAAATTTCAAACCTAAAGGAGTTTATTTTTTCATTTGGCTGGTTAAAAATGTAATACTTTGGATTTTCCATATTATATTATAAAAATATTTTGTAGTGCTGAATGCACTGAATAGTTTTTCACTGCATTCGTATGCGTGTAGAATACAATCCAATGTGTACAGGTCCGTACTTTCAATTTGCCAACGGCCTGTATCCACGTTTTTTATTATCACCATGGTGATCTTTATCAATGTCTATGTATTTCCGATCCCAATGAAACAGCATATACAGGGTGGCCCACATTTCGTTGTCCCACTATTGCTATCTCTGAAACGGTTAGAGATAGAAAGTTGGTTAAATGAAACAAAAGTTGGACATTTCGGGGGACATAAGAATTATGTCAAAAAATCAACGACATCATGAGCCGTTTCCGAGATAATTGAGAAAAAACAAAATTGTCGATTTTCGTTTTCAGGCGCTAGCCCTTTCATTTCGGGAAATGGAAAAAAACACACAGACATTTTTTCTTCTATTTTATATGTTCATCAATCTGGTAATATCAGATTTTTGATACAACGTTTCGTTCATCCAGGGCCACCCTCAACTTTTTTTTTTCAAATACGGACCTGATATTTTTTTTCTCTTAATAAATTGGCCTTTTCATTCTGTATACAGACATGTATCACACTATGAGTATAACCCCACTAATATCATTTTGAAAAAGGTAAAGCCAAAAAGTCAACATTTTGAAATACGGACCTGATATATTTTTTAATAAATTGGCCTTTATCAATCTGTATACAGACTCTCTGTATTTTTTGCGTTTCTATCGCTACCTTCATCATGTACAATAATCGATTATGAATATTATTGCTTCATGATAATAATAATATCTCAAATAATCGCCTAACAAATTTGGAATCAAACAATTTCTTTATAAGGACAATCTTGGAAGAATGTTGCGTTGAACCACCAGAACAATGCATCGGATTTTGTCAAGTAGGCTAATAGTAAATAAGTCGAAACAAATGTCAATGTTTGACATCTTGTTAGTTATCGTAATGCCTCAAATGTATTCCACTGACGAGAAAAGAGATATGTATGAAATCTACATACGATGCTTCAGAAATTCAGCTGAAGCTGTCAATCACTACATGAATTTATATCCAGAACGACGTCAACCCAGCAAAAAAACCTTTCAACGAATTTCAATGAATATGACTAGATACGGATGTGTTAATCAAGCAAGAACTAGATACCAGGTCCAACCCACAGTGAGTGAAGTAAATGTTCTTGCTCAAATTGCTTTAAACCCTGAAAATTCTTCCAGAAATATTGCTCGTTTATGCAATACTTCAAAAACGACAGTCAACCATTTAAAGAAGCACAAATACCACGACTATAAATTCAAAAAGGTTCAAACTCTACATCAAGGGGATCCTGCAAGAAGAATTGTCTTTTGTGAGTGGTTCAATAGATGTTTGACCCGCAATATTGATTTACCAAAATACATTTTATGGAGCGATGAAACTACCTTCACTAATTGCGGAATATTCAACAGAAGGAATAAACACATCTATGCTCAACAAAATCCTCATTTAATTCAAGAAACGATGCCTCAAAGACGCTTCTCTATTAATTTATGGTGTGGTTTGCTGGATAATAGGATAATTGGACCAATATTTATTGAAAATATGTTGAACGGAGTTGAATACTTACATTTGCTCCAAAACAATCTGGAAAATGAGTTCGACGAATTGCCTCTAGAAGTTCGTCGGCAATTA